CAGCCTCAGACTCCTGAGCTCAAGTGATCCTCCTGCCTCAGCCTGGGTCTACAGGCACATGCCACCATAACCGGCTAATTTTTTTTCTTTTCTTTTGTAGAGACGGGGTCTTAGTATCCTGCCCGGGCTCATATTTCTTAATACTATGCTTGGATTGCTATTTCTTGGTTTATCAATTTTAGATAGATTCACTTGCTTCTGGTAGTTCAAGATTTAATTCTTTTCTACTCTCCTCCCATTCTCCCAATATTTTTTATATCACTGTTTTAAATTATATTACCAGTGTTTGCATTATAATTCCTGCATACGTTATTATTCGCATGGAGCCAAGTAACACACTGTACTTACCCAGTATGTACATACCTACCAAGTGTAACAGGAACATTTCTGTTCTTGAGTAACCTTGCTTTTCTGTGGAGTTATCAGTTCCCTTATTTTTTTTTTTGTTTGCTCAGTATTCTGTGTGCCTATAACTTTCAAAAATACAGACTCAGTGTTAAAGCTCTCTCAGTGGCCTAACTTCTCAGATATTCCTATCAGTTCCTTTTTCAGCACAGAGACCCAACTCCTGGTGGTCCTGTCTTCCATCTCCAAACTGGACTGGCCTTTCTCTGGGCCTAGTTCCCAGGTACCCACGCTGGGGCTTCCCTTTCCTGCTCTCCTGGTTGCATCCTTTGCTTTGTGTGCCCCCAGTTACCCTCTTTATTAGTATACCCCTTCATCTTGCTGAAACACATTCTCCAGCAGCTTCCTAATAAAAGATTCATCGTGGGAAATAAACCCTTCGCATGCTTGAAAATATCTGTTCTACCTTTCTGCTTAAGAATTCTAAGATAAAAGTCATTTTTCCTCAGATTTCTTTAAATACGTTGTACCATTGTCTTGCAGCTTTTAGCACTGTCGTTTTCATTTCCAAGAGTTCTTTCTTATATTCTGGCTTTTCAGTTTTCTGTAGCATCCTATTCTTGTTTTATGGATGTAATTTATCTTTTCTTAGCTCTCTGAATAAATTAATTATAGGGTTTTTTTAAGTTTTCTTTTTCTTTATACAGTTCCTCTGTTTCCTCCAAGTGCCTTTTTTTCTTTTTGTTTTGGTCTTCCCTTCACATTCTAGGCTTTTCCCAAGTTTCTGATGATCCTTAGCCAAGTGGCTGCACAAGGTCTACATGGCCACCAGCTGGTGTGCTTCGCTGAGGAATGTTCATATGGTAATAAGCTCGCCTCATGGATTTCCTCAATTTCAGTATCCTGAACTCTTATGTAGGGTCATTTGATCAATCCAGAGATGAACTCTCCAACTTCCCGCTTGGGGGTGGGTGGCCTGGGTAAGTCATGGGAAATTGGCTGCTGATATGCAGGGAGCAGGGCCGAGAGTCCACCAGTTTATGTGCCGGCTTCTCCACTTTAGCCTGGATCCTCACCTAGGCCTTACTTTGTACTGGAATCTCAGAGTCCGGGGGCACTCTGGTTTCTCCAGGACCGAACCATCTCGTGCCTGTCCAAGAAAGGCTAAGGAATGAGGGATAAATCCTCCACGTACGGACTCAGATCCAGTGCCCCTGTTTTTATTTCCAAGTCTCTCTCCCATCCTGCCCAGTTCATGGTACTTCTGGTCCGTGAGCCTTCCTGGGACTCTGTAGTGTGACCAAGCTGGCCTTTTATTAGTATCCTCTTTTGCAGATACTTTGCCCTTTTCCTCACTTGCAAGATCATTTACCAGTCTTCCATCCTGTTCTGTCTCCAAAGAATTTGTTGCCATCACTTGTCCCCTGTTGCCTTCTTTCTTGTTCTCTTTGTTCTTCTGGGTTTATGCTTTTTAAAAAATTACTGTCATTTTAGTGTGATTGTGGAGGGAAAGGAGAGAGACACATATTTTAATTCTCCATGTTTAACCAAAAGTTCAGAACCAATTCAGTCTGTCTTCATTCTTTAAAAAGGTATATATCTGCCCACATGTCTCCTAAACTTATTATACAAGTACCAGAAGTATTTTTCTGAAATCCTGTGCTCAGATGTGGATTCAGACTAGGTAGAGAATGGCTTCCATACATGTTCTTTGTGGAATGGTCACAGGATATTCATTGAAGATGTGATGAACTTTAAAAATACTATAGGACAAGTTACACAATTACAGAAGAGTATCTCTGAGACCAAATGGTACACAAAGAAAACAGCATTTAAGAATGTCACAGAAATCAATGAGAGTGATCAAAAAGTCTATAGTTACATTTCTCTGAAAAGCAAGTTAAACAATGGAGAGCTTTATAAGAATAAGGTAGCGGAAGATAGAAAGCATTTTTACAGTTTGTGAGATATAGCACTGTTGGCTGGGTAGATGCTATGGCCACGGTGAGGGTGAGAGGCAAATATATAAATCCACCTTCATTCCTCCAATACATACCGTGCAAGACAAGATGAGAGCAGATTATTAGCGCAAAGTCATGGAAAGGAGAATGCCTGGTGTCTCCTTGCTACATCCCAAATAAAGAAGTAAGGCAGTCAGCTGGGATGACGTAGTGTAAGAAATGCCTGCGCCAAAGTAGCTGAGGAGATGTGTTGCCCAGTGTCCTGAGAACAAATGGACAGCGTGGAGCCCAGGGTCGAAGTGCCAATTGGCCTGAAGACAAAGTAGTCTTATCCAGGGAATCTTTTTCTGTAAAGGGCCATATAGTAAATGTTTTAGGTTTTGTAAGCCAGATGATGTCTATCACAACTTTTTAAACAAGTCAATATGTCCCATTATTAAAGGAGAATATTGTCTAGAGGTGAAGGCAGACATTGATTGTCCTGTGAGGATGTTAATTAAGAAAGAGGTAATACGGGGTCCAGTGGAATTTTCTTAAGCAGGGCAGCTAGTATTTGAAGGTAAGGGAGGCCTCTCTGAAGAAGCGACATTCAAGCTGAGACCTGAAGATTAGCTAGAAGAAAAGTCAATGCACTTTCCAGGCAGAGGAGGTTGCCTTTGCAGAGGTGGAAAGGCCAGGGGGCGAGGGGTGGCATGAGATGAGATCGTGCGGTAGACAGGGACTAGATTGGCGAGGGCCTTGTAGTCCAGCACACACGTGCTTTGCTCCAGTGAGGCCACAAAGACAGTGAGTTTCTGTTCTGCTTGTATGCCTGCCCTGCTCAGGAAGGAAAGGCAGCCCCAGGGCCTGCCAGGGGTGTGAGAAAAGCTGGCCCGGGATTGAGACTTCACCCTGGGTGATCTCTGCGTAACTAATGGAGAAATAATTTTCTCTTCTCTATTCACAGGAGTTTTTTGAGAACCCTGCTTTTCGTCCTGATGGTCTGAAACTCTACCCTACTCTGGTAATTCGTGGAACTGGGCTTTATGAGCTTTGGAAATCAGGAAGATACAAGAGTTATTCTCCTAGTGACCTAATTGAATTGGTGGCTCGGATTCTAGCCCTTGTGCCTCCATGGACTCGAGTATACCGAGTGCAAAGGTAGTGTGTTAGCTTTTATTCTGAAAATAATTGGTGACTAGTTCTTCTGTTTATAATTTCCGATGAGAATAGTCTGATTTCATATTGAGGGTTTTGAATTTATTTTTATTAAAAATAGGATATCTGGAATGCTATCTGTAAATAGAGCGGAACGAAAATGAAAGGATAGCATGTCCAAGCCACTTTGCCAATATCGTATTTATTCATCTGTCCATTCGCTCATGAGCCTGGAGTGGATTCATGATGGTAAACAGGCATGGCGCTTGCTTCTGAGGCGCTTACGAGCTAAATCGGGGTGTAATTCAGTCTAAATACAGTCATGGGTATGAGAAGAGGAAGCGTAGCCATGTGTCTTGTCCCTGTCCTAGAGCCTCTGAGGGAAAACACAAGAGTGGCAACAATCATTCTTTACAGACATTAATGTAAATGTGGAGAAAGTGATGTATTCTGAATAGCATGAAGAAAATAAAATGATCTTAACTGTTTTTCCTTTCTAGAAATTTGGAACAAAATTGGAAACAAAAATGCCACAATTTTTTTTAGGAATTTAAAACACTTCTGAATAACTCATGACTAAAAGAAGAAATCAAATTCCAGTTATAAAATATTTAGAAAATAGAATGTAACAACAAGTCAAAACCTATTTGATATGGTCAAAGCTGCTCAAAGGAAACACTTCCATTATTTAATGTCTTCAAACTATAAATCGTCCTCAGACTCACCAAGAACATTACTAGTTCCATTATTTTAAAAGAGACTGTACCGCTACCTCTTGTTTTACAGGATTCCATTAAATTTTAATTCACCCACCTATTTGTGAAATAATAGAATGTCACTTCAAAATCTGAAGCCTACATCCTCCCTCATAAACACCTTAAGCGACATACTGATAGAGAAATATAAGTGACAGTCTGGCCTGCTAGAACTAGAGCTCGTGGAGTCTTCTCTGGGCCGAGTCTCCCAAAGAGGACTATGACAGGGTCATGATGAGAAGAACTGAGAATGGGGACGTTCCTTCAGCAGGCCTCCTGTTGCTTGTCCATAATACCATGCCTTTCTCGTCACATGACCTTCTGGCCATATACGTGTTCTTCATTCTTCCTGTCACGACCCCTTTACACTTTTCCTAGAGATTATGTTTGCTGCTCTTATCTTCTCCAAGTCCTTATTTTCTCAGTTGGTCGTAGGCCGGGAAAATGGCCCATAGTGATATTTCATACTCAAATTGGAAAAAAAAATGAAGCCCTAAGAAAAGCAGAAGGCAGAAATGAATGGATTAGAAAACCTATAAATTCTACATAATCCCGATATGATCTCTTTTGGAACGGGTCAAGGTAAATCTAAAGTTCATCTCTGAGGATCTATGTTCAAACCTAGCCAGGAAAGATCTATGAAAGAATGAGGAGGAATCCTCCTGACCAGATGTTGAAAAGTTCTACACAGCTACAGTAATTAGAGCAAGTGACACTCAGGCCAAAAGAGGCAACAAAAAAAAAAAATATGAGAGTCTGGAAATAGTTCCCAAATATATAGAGGAATCTGTTATGTGATAAAGGGATGGGGTGTTAGTGAGAGAGAGAGTTTAGGCAATAAGTGATGTATCTGGACGTTTTAGAAAAAATGCAGCTGTTTTCTATGTTTATACTTTAATCCCCATAGATTGAAGATTGGGAAAAAAATAGAAGTAGTAGAAAAATTGTAGGTAATATGTAATGTTAATTCTTCCCAAATTGATCTAGAGATTCAGCCCACTTCCAGTCAGAATTCTAGCTGTCTTTTTCATTGAAATTGATAAATTGACTCTAAAACGGAAATGGAAAAGTGCATAGACCTCTTTCATTCCTGGGCTTTAAGAGCCAATGTGTGATATTTGTTCTTATACAAGTTTCCATTACTATTCACTTTTTTAAATGTAGCTCACTGTGGACTAACATTCAGTAAGGCACTTGTTTTTCTGTAAACATGCGGAGGATTCCTTCAAATGTATTGTGTTACTTTGTGTTTTGCATTAGATGTTACTGAACTATTACTGTGGCTACATGCACGGGAATTCATAGTTACTATATTTTGCGTCTTGCTTTTTACCCATTTTTGTTTTCACATTTTATTTGTATATACTACATCGAAAAATGATTCAGATTTATTTTACGTTGTAACCTGCTTTTTGTTCTCAATAATCGCTGAAATTCTAGACTAGGCTTAGGCAGTGCTGAGATAGGAAGTGAGATTTCATTTACTAGTCAAACTATTATGTCTTGTGTTTCTGCTATGTACTAATTCTTTTTTGATAATGTGATTTTATATTTTTTTCCACCAGAGTTTGTAGAATATTACTAATTATCTAGAACTTATGTTTTCTTCTTGATTTCTAGCCATATAGTACTATCTTAACATGAACAAAATAATATTTTCTCTACAAAACTACTAAATCACTTTCAATATGTGTCAATAACAAAATTACATTATTTCTTCAAAAAGTTCCTTGTAAAATTGGGATGCATATTTACATAGCAGTCCATTTTATACACTGGCAAATATGCTGTGTGCATCTTTGCATTCCAGTTCTTGTTAAAGACGTAGAATAATCTTCATGGTTATAATTTTAATGGCAGCATAATACTCTATCATTTTAATTTGTCATATTCAGTAAACTGTTCCCATTTTTAGACATTTAGGTTACTTCCAGGTTTCTTTCCTTTTTTTTTTTTTTTAAATCATTATTCTGACCTCCACTACAGCTAAAATCCATGTACATAGAACTTTTTACTGCTGTTGAAGTAATCTCTTAGAGTAGTATAATCTATGAGAAAAATTACCCATGGTAAAGGATCTAAGCATCTTTTTTTCCCATTATTATTATCTTATCTTAAATCCCTTCTGGAACAAGGATAGTATAAGTAAATGTTACAGCTTTTGCTATATATGTTGATAATGGTTTTCCAGAGGGATTATATGAATTTAGAGTAAATAGTGGCTTTATCATTACCACTACAGAGTTGGATGCTAATGGTATTTTTTATTTAATTAAGAGAATTAATTTCCCTAGTTATTGGTGAGGATTAATTTTTTTCCCTTGTAACTGATTATTATTTGTGCTCCTCATATTAGTTGTCTATTTATATCTAATTTGGCTGTCATAGAATTTGAATCATAAAGATGGTGCTTTTTACTGAGATAGCTCAAAAAGTTTATAAATGTTACCTCATTTTGAATTCTCTCCTCTCACCTGGACAAATAGCTGACTAGGGAACCAAAACGCCACATCCATATATAGTACACTTAATAACAATTCAATAACTCTGTTCTAGCGAAACAGCTTCATATCGCTGTTTGTTTATTTTTTATATATTTTTTTTTAGGAGACAAAGTCTCGCATCGCCCGGGCTGTATGGTCACAGCTCACTGCAGCCTCGAGCTCCTGGGCTCAAGCAACATATCTCTGTTTAAAAATCTTGTATTCCATTTCAGGGTGTTTTAAAATTTATATTCAGATATAGCTAGAATTTGGCATGTCTGAACTTCCAGAAGGAAACTCGTTTAAGAGGTAGATGGTAAAATTTTGAAATAAAAATGCTAAGAAAGGTGTTAATTGGTAACTTTAAACATTATATACAAATGTGTGTGAAGGAAGGCTGAGTATTTAGACAATGTTAAGCGGCTTAGAAACCTTCTGATTTGGGTAAAGAGATTCATGGGGTTTTTACTCAGTCATGTTTCTTCCAGTTTCCGTCTCAAAAGTTTTAGAGCAATTCTAAGAATTTAGAAAACAGCTATTAGCCTAAGAGTACAGTTAAGCATCCTTGCTGTGTTTATTTTGAAAGTAGTTGATTGTGTCTTGCTAGAAAGAAACCACTGGCAAAGGAGAAAGGCATCTTCCCAGAGTGTTTAATCCAGATGATTTTAATAATTATAGTTTATTTATTTTTGTTTTAAATCATAAAGGAAAATCATTTGTGTCTTTCTGTTCTGTGCATTCAGAAAATCTGCCTATTTCTATATAGGTTCACCTAGTGGCAGCTTCTACCAATTACAGGCAACACATAGTGTTGACTAGTGAAGCTCAACTTACAAGGTTTGTGGTGAAGATTTTAGGAACTATTTTTAAGGCAGGTATCACAAGGGAGGAACCAACAAGGAAAGGAAGATAATTTGAGTGAGAACATGATGTTTCTCACTTTAAGTGATATTTTACTGATTATTTGATGTTTTTAATTGGTTATTTTCCCCACCCTGCCACACCACCACCCCTCTTTAACTATTTTATACTGTTTAGTTTTATGACAGTTGAGGTAATAGCATCTTACTGGGTGTTTTTATGACACAGCATCCTAATAGAAGAATCTGTATTCTAGCCCTGAAGGGTGCAGTAAATGAGTAAATGTAAAATTCTGTCCAGACACATGGAGTCACATTAAAGCGCTGCTGCCCACAGGCTATTTGACAGCTGTCTGCCTTGATGTGATATTTAAATCACAGTGAAACATTAGAATAGGAATACCAATTTTCAACCAAAACATGTTTCTGAAGCTTGAGAAAATTGAGATCAAAAGTCTAGACAACACTTGAAAGGATTTTGATGAGCAAATTGCAAATATCAGCACCTCTAAGCTTGAAATGTTACCTGTTGAAGTAGAAAAGTGAATATTCTTACATGTAATCTCTTCAAGCTAAGAAAATGAAACTAGATAGAATCAAATTGAGAAACCTAAAAATAATTTTAACTCCTACCTAGATGGATGTGACAAGCTCAAATGGTCAGTAATCTCATCTAGGTTTTGAACTCCTGCAAGGTAGTAACAGTGCCTATTTGTGTATTCCAGATCGCTTAGTGCAGTACTTTGCCCATTGAGATGCTCAGTGTGTATAGAATTGTCTCCCCTCATTTTCAGTGAAAAAGATTTTATCACTGAAAGTGGCAATTGCCACATTTCTGTTCCTTAGAGGGAGAACTTCCATCTGGTATACTCCAGGCATGTCACTACCAAAGACCATTAAAACCATGTTACATTTTTGTAGCGACAGACATAAATTTAAGAACATTTATGAACCATCACCATCATTGTAAATCCCTGTGTTACCAGGTCCTCCCTGATTGGTCCTCTCTGGTAATCAGGGCCAGCTGCAAGGACACGTGACCTGTGCAGCCTCCTAGCACCTTGCACTTGGCCTAATGCTCTACCTTCACCATCTTGAAGTTATTAATTTTTTTTAACAAGGGATCTCATGTTCTTATTTTGCACTGGGCCCCCCAAGTTATGTAGCAGCTTGCTGGTAATTCTTTCTGTCATACAGTTCTGCTTAGAAACATTGTATGAGAAAACCTACTTGAGAGAGTTTACTTCTATTGAAATTTTTAGTGGCTTTTAAAAGTACCAGTTCGTTATTAAAAATATCTGTAGAGACCATCTTCCCTTCCCTTCCCATTGCCTGTGGAGGCAGTGCCACAGAGCCACGGCCGGCAGCACGCCTGGCACCCGCCGAGATGGAGAGGTCGAGGGGGAGCACAGAGATGGCAGCTCGAGTTGCTGGGAGATTGGTTACACTGAGCAAAGAAGTTATTTGATTTAGTAAATGAGTAAATGTGCTAAAGATAGGAGAGCCAGCTTTCTCACTGTCTGAAAGGGATATACAAATATTTGAAAGGTAAAGACTGAAAAGAACACCAAGGCACCATGTTAGTATTGGAATTATCAGTATAAAATTGTGGGCTTTTTAATTTATATGTAGAAATAGTTACATATGTATGTTTATATGTGTACATATATACATACACACACATCCGTATATACGTACATTTATTTCTTAGTAGTGTACACTGACGGGGTCTAAAGGCAGTGACATCCCAGTAGTAATGAGCACAGTGAGTGCCCAGATCTTAGTCTCTAAATACCATTTTCCATTAAAAGGAATCAAGGCTTTGAAAAAAGACTGTTTCCAGGGCTGGAGCAGCAAACATATAAGGGGAACATGAAACATCTTGTTCTAGAGAGTAGAGAAATAGTCAAAATGATGGGGACATGTCAAAAGGACCCAGCAGCCAGCCTGGATTCACATCCACTGGCCAAAACAAATTTAAGCAACAAATAATGTTACTGTTGGATTACAACTCATTGAATAAAATAGGAATCCATGAGTCTATACTGTTATAAATAAATGAATGAATAAATAGAAAAGAAAGAAAAGGTCTTCTTTACAGTACAAGGTCAACTAGTAAATATAGAAGGAATGACAGAAGTAGATAAATTATCATTTGGTGACCATTATAAGGAAGGTGACACAGACAGGAGTCATCAGTGGATGCAAGACTGGTAGTTGGAGGTTTGATGAGGAACAGGACATTGGTGTGATACTGACATTTCTCCCCATAAAGTGTTACTCAAATGCAAAAGGGGAAATGGTGACTACAGTGGAGACCCCTGGCAGACACAGACTTGACCAGAGCATGCCCAGTGGTGGAACAGGTGAGCGTAGCACAGCTGCTGATGCGACTCACTGTGAGGAACACAGCATCATTCTGTAGTATTTCTGCCAGAAACTCACGGCCTGAACCTGGTCCTAGAACTTGGACTTATCTTAGATTTATAGTGTTTTAATGGAAACTGTGCTTGCTTCTAGAGCCTAATAGACTTATTGTATATAGTTCTTAATGCTAATTGATTGGCTTTTGATACTTTTGCGGGAGGAATATCTCATTAGAATCAAGTGGATGAATTAGCTAATTGCATTTAACATTTGAAAGGATGAGTGAAAAGAGAAGGAAAAGACTCAAGTCGATTCCAAAGCAGAATGAGAAGAAAAGATAATTGGCATATTCTTCACATCTTTCTTCTGCTCAACCAAATGTGAGACAAAACAAATTAGAGACTTGTCTTTGAATAGGAAGCAGATGTGCTGAGTATATTCTTAACTTCAGATTTTTTTTTCAGCTGTTTTATCTTTAGATACTGATTTTTGTCTAGATGAGGGTGTTGGGGCTACTAAAATGGAACTCGTAACTTCAACTTTTGATTGACATCTCCTTGAAGCCAGGAAATAAATTTTATCTCTTCTTATCTTTAGGCAAGCTGTCATTCTTCTAATGCAGCGTCAATTTTAATTTAGATTTTTAGGAAACAAGGGAAAAAGATCTATTCTTTGAGACCAGTTGTTGGCTACGCCAGGCTTTTGAGCTTCCAGGTTACTTGTCATTCAGCAACTCTATGGGAAAGTGTTTGTAAGCTACCTCATTAAAAAAAGTCTGTAAAAAAAATATTTATTTCTTGTTTTATTTAGCGCAAATGTCTCTTCAGCCAAAAATCCTTACTAATAGATTATTGGACTTTTTGGCATTTGTTTTGCCCTTTGCAGTCTTGCATAAAGTGATTTCCATCAGGTATCTCTCATAAAAACCTTTGAGAGCTCGGTGAAAATCATAATTTCATCAGTGGGAAAACTGAGACGTGGGGAGGCTCTGAACCTTGCTTCCTGGTTGGAATATTGAGCCTCTGCTTTCTTGGTCTGCTTCATAGGTTTTTCGATTCTTTGTTTTTGTTTTTGTTTTTGTTTTTAATATCCCTGCCTTCCTGCTATAGAGAATGATTTCTGTTTTGCAATAGCTGATGTTTTTCTCCTGCAGAGATATTCCAATGCCCTTAGTCAGCTCAGGAGTAGAGCATGGGAATCTGAGAGAGCTGGCTCTGGCGAGAATGAAAGACCTTGGGATACAGGTAAGACTAAATGCAGCTGGCAGACCTTAGGTGTGGAGGCTCCTGAAAATAAGCACACACTAATCTCTGCCTTTTAAAAAGCATCCCAAAAAAAGAAAGAGAAAAGGCAGCAGCATGCAAGTGTTCATTAAGAACGTTTAACTATAGTATTATACATTCCCATGCTAGCTACTTTATAGAACTACTGTAGCTAAAGGACAACAGCTACATGTAATGGATTAAATATCACAGAGATTTATGATCCTTGTCCACTATACAATTTTTGTTTACTAGAATTCATGGACTCTACATCAAGAAAGCATTATCTTGGACTGGTTCTCAGGGCATGGAAATAGCTTTATTTTTATAGAACTGAATAATGAGCTCTTATTTTTCCCCATTGAATGCTATATATATAGCAGTCCTTCATAAATATACTATTAGTAGAATTGCTTACATGACATCATCAAATTTCCTAGCGTGATCTTTTCTCACTGGAAGAAAATGTTAGAATTCTGAAAAAGGAAGTTTATGGTTTTTTGTATAGGGAAAATTATATCATATGACATGTAATTGAATAAGGACTTTGTCATTCGAAATGTCAGGTTATGTAGCACGCATACTGGGTGTGAAATAGAAGGCTCTCACGGTGCCTGGTCTGTGCATTGGCATTGTCTCTGGGCAGTTTTGTGCCTCCTGGGGGTGTTCAAAGAGCCATTTGTGATTGTGGCTCAGGTTGTGGAATACATAGCTCTAGCTTCCTTCCTTCTTTTTTTCATTTCTTTTTGCTTACCTTTCTTTCTCCCTCCCAGCCTGTCTCCCACAGTGCCTTTCTCTGCAAAAAAAGAAAAAGGAAAAAAAAACAGCCATCTTCAACATGCATCTTTTTGACATTTCTAAAACGATACAAATACAGTGAGGCTAAGAATGTTAACTGACAAAATGGTGAAGGTTTTAAAAGTTTAGGAATTTGCTTTTTTCTCTTCTGTATACATGGTTTTGGATTATACTTTCATATAGTTATATCCCTTGGGCAAAAGTATTTTTTAATTTTATGACTGAATGTTCTTTCCCCCTAAGATGATATTAAATATTGGTTTCTTTTGGATTCTAAATTTATTTTTAAAGCAATACTGTACTACTTCTTATATTTCCATTCTGCTTTCCCCATTCTCAAGTTTATTAAAGATGGTTTAACATTTTAATTCTGTTCTTTTATCTCAACGTAAATTTTGTCCAAACTTAATTTTGAGCCCAGGGTTTGACAGAGGGATTTAGATAAAAATCGAATAAATTACCAATTTTATATTTGCCTCCCCCCACCCCCTATTTTTTGGCAGTGTCGAGATGTGAGAACCAGAGAGGTTGGAATCCAAGAAATTCATCACAAAGTACGGCCATACCAGGTTAGTTTCTTCATTTTATAGAGGTTGGGTTCTGTCCTTAGATCCTTGCCAAGCCTGGACCCACACCTTCTTACCGATAGGACCAAGCCCTAGAAATGAATAACTAAGAGCAGAGGGTAATTGAGAATTAGATATAGACGTCAGGCCAGGACAGCCAGAAATGAGGGTAGCTGAACTATAGAAGAGCCTGGTTAGGAGAACAAAGTCTGAACCTCATTCTAGATCGCACTGTCCAATGGAACTTTCTCTAGTGTTGGAAATATTCTCTGGTCTGAGCCATCCCATATGGTGGTGACTATTGAGCACTTAAAAGGTGGCTCGTACAAATGAGGAGCTGAATTCATAATTTTATTTGATTATAATTAATTCAAATATAAATAGTCACCTGCGACTAGTGGCTACCTTCAGATAGAACATGGTATGATCTGTTTATCTTTCTGTGTATAACTGTTAAACTAATGCCCATTGTGATAATCAAATGAATTGATTGGCCCTTATCAACAGGGGTTCCACAAAAATTAAGTGTAATGCTTTAGGCATTCATTGTATGTAATGAATTAACTTCTCTCTTATACAGGGATAATATCTAGCTATTTGCCAAATCTGTGGGGTTTGACTCTTGTGGAACCCCATTTGAGAAAGGCTGGAATAGATGATTTCTGTGTTGATGTTTCTGTTCTCGGCATCAATTGTTTGTTTAATTGACATTTTTCACATTTAGAGCCCTTTGAGGGAAAAATTAGACCTAACACATTTTGCCAGTTTCTTATGCAGTCCAGTTATTTAGCAAGCATTAAGCTGAGCAGGAATATAAGTGTCTGTCTGAATTATTCACCTCATCTGGGTACCATCTGCCCATATGGGGAATATGTCTGGGTGAGACCGTGTCCACATGAGTAGATTTCTGTGTATTCATATTGCCACATATTGCTTTTATTTAGCCAAAGTACTAGGGCCATTTGTACAATGAGTGGAAGAGTCAAAAGCCTGTGTAGACTGCTGCCACGAGAGCTTTCCCCAAAAGCTACTCTCCAGTGACTGGATTTTCTTTAACATTTTTATCCCATAATTATGCATGCTATTTTAAGTGTCCTGTCAGATACCATACTTTCTTAGAATTCCATCAAAGAGCAAGTGACCAGTATCACAGTTTTTCCCCAAAGGCAGATTTCAGTGGAGGAGATAAAGACTAGAAAATGAAACCTGTGGATATCAGCCTAAATAAATGCACACAATTACAAAAGTGAACTTGGTTCTTTAATTTTGAGAAAATACTTTTTGTGGCTTTTTATGAAACAGGTTGAATTGGTAAGGCGAGATTATGTTGCAAATGGTGGCTGGGAAACATTCTTGTCATATGAAGACCCAGATCAAGACATTTTGATCGGCCTCCTGCGATTACGAAAGTGTTCAGAGGAAACCTTCCGTTTTGAATTGGGCGGAGGGGTCTCCATAGTCCGAGAGCTGCACGTGTATGGAACTGTAGTCCCTGTGAGCAGTCGGGATCCTACTAAATTTCAGCATCAGGTATCCTGTCTTCCATTCCTATTTGACTCACAACTAAGAAATTGCCCAAGTAGGAAAAGAGAAAAGGACAGAGTTAGGAGGGGAGGAAGAGACAGAGGAGGAAGAAGGGGGAAAGAGAAGCGTAGAACCAGCGGAACCAGTGTTTCAGTTGTCCAGAGATGCTTTCCCTCCAAATTGCACCTTTTGGGGGGTAAGGGGGGAGGAGGGAGGGATAAACCAAGATTCAGTCACGTGGAATATATCAGATTGAACCATATGGAATTGCTATTTTTTGAAAGTCAGAAATTATCCAATACTGACAATTTCATATGAGCCAACCTATTATGAAATCAAATTGATGATATGAAAGCACTTATGAAATATTAGAACACTTTATAAATATAAGCTGTATTATGTACAGTGGAAGCCTAATCCCTAAACAACCTAAATTAATAACTTACTTTTTAAAATTTCAGGAAAATGTACTAAAACCACTAATGGTGGATATAGTGTAAGCACCAAAATTGATGATTAAAAATCTTGCCTGGTTTCTAAACCCTTCTAGAAAGTGGAGGGGCGATAAATAAATGTTCACTGCCCCAGACCTCCATCACCTGGAGATTGCCTAGAACTTATCTAAAAAGAAACAGAAGTTGAGAAGAACTTCCTCCCTTGCTGTAACTAGATTACATCAGCCACAGAATGCCTTTCCATGGCTCTTGTTGGAAAGTTATACCTTTTTTAATTGTCTGCTGCAGTGTACTTTTGGTATAATTGAATGGTTTCTTTTTCATTATTCCCATAAATGGGCTTTGTCACTCTTATTTTAACAGATTTGAGCAGCTACTAAATTATAGCCTTCTTGTTTTATGGCCCCTCTTAATGGACTTCCTTCCCTCTGATTTCCCCTTCCCCACCTCCCCGCAGGGATTTGGCATGCTGCTGATGGAGGAGGCAGAAAGAATAGCCAGAGACGAACACGGATCTGGGAAAATAGCTGTTATATCAGGTAACTGGGGGAGGGCCAAGTTCACGATTTATTCACAGTTTGAACTTGGTACTCTCTTACCCCTATTTATGGTTATTATGTTCAGAATTGGGCTGAGCTGGCTAATGAAGGATCTGTGCTCAAACAAAAAGAAAATTATGAAAGCAGTCTGGTCGACTAGAGCTTCCCGAGCTGTCTGTCTGAGGGGGCAAGACAGTGATCCATACCGCGCTTCTTCGTGTTGCTGTCTGTCACGCTGGTCGGCACGGTCAGCTCCTCTCTCTGCTTTGTGCCAGTTACTCTGTCTGGAAAAGTGGAATTGGATGAGACAGATCCCAGAAAAATGTAAACCGACGTGGAGATTATCACTATTGTTGTTTAGAAAATTAAAACACAACTTCAGTTGCTGGAACAGCTTTTAAAGGCAGAGTTCTTGCTCCTTAAATTTTGTTCTGAATGACTTCGTTGCTGGGGAACAGCTCTCCCCTCTTTGGGAGTGTAGTGCAGGAAAAAATTTTCCCAACCCTCTTAGGGTCCCTGCCTGGGTCAAAAAATTGAACTGACAAAGACAGATTAATGGGAAAGCACACAAATGTGTTTAATGTAAGTCTTTTGGGACTAGAGAGCCTTTATAAGGAAATGAAGACTCAAAGAAATGGCTAAACCTGGGCATTTTTATACTAGCTTTGATGCTCAGTGTAGTCACGGGAAAATATCAATATGATAGCGCAAAGGAGCGTGAGCAAGAGGAATACCGGGGAAACTGGGCAAGGCCTGTTCGTTCACATTCCACCTTCAGAGACAAGGGTGTTCCTTTCCCTCAGGTCTCACCTGAGGGTCTTCTGACGTGCGTCAGGCGAGAAGGGTGGGGGAATGTCATAGAGTCTTTCCTGGACACGCTGTTTTCTCAGATTCCTTCACCCTAAAATGTTCAGTATGCTGAGGCTGGGTTCTGGGTGTGTTCTGAGCCCCGCCAGGAGCTTCCCCACTCTCTATCTAGGACGGCACCTAAGTGGGCATGAAGAGGAAACCGTGGTGTAATAATGTGTCAGTGGGAGAAGAAATGAGGGATGTACCCTTTCACTTCTACTCTTCTCTAGTGTGTCCTTACAAAAATTACTGTTTCCAGTGGGAAGCCAACAGGGTGAAAGCCATGATCAAAACATAGGTTATGTTTCCTGCAGCATTTTGTTTTTCCACTGCATTCCTAAAGCTAAAGTACCCCTTCTGAGAAGATAAGCTTTCTGAAAATGAAAGTTGAAATGAAGTTTTAAAAAATCAGTAAGTTGTTGCCGATCAATAAATCAATACCCATGCTCAGATTTTAAAGATTATAAACTGCGAAAACCTAATGACCTAAGCTCACTTAATCATTATCCAGGCAGATTAATAAGGCCTTTTTTTAACATGTCTAACTTTATGTATTTTTCTGTTATCTTTAATCCCACAAAGGAAAGGTAACTAACTACATGGGGCTCACCTAATAGACACTGATACCTGAAATAAAAAATGTTTGCGTCTCAACTGTTTAACCTGTGGTTGACCAGAAGTACCAGGAAAGGGCCAGACTGACTTGGAGTATATATATATATACACACTGTGTCAGGTTGATAATATACGAAATTTCCATAGTCGCTTTGGCCAGAGCACTGTCAGTGTTTTCAGTGAAGTACTTCTGAAACTTTAATGTGCTCATGGATCGCCTGGAAATCTTGTTAAAATGCAGATTCTGACTCATTAGGTCTGAGTGGGGCCGGAGAGCCTATATTCTAGCCAGTTTCCTGGTGATACCTATGCTGATTGTCTTCAGACGGCGCTTTAGGTAGCAAGGTTTTAGTATTCTCTTCCAAATGTATTCTTTTCCCGATCATTAAAGTAATGATAACTCCCCGTGACCCTGGCGGTGCTGCACTCCGGAAGTCTGATGTACATGCATATGATTTCCTGGTGTCTGCAGGAACCTAATCAACTTCAAAACTGAAGAGCATCCATATTCTGTCACTGCTCTACATTATTCCATTTGCCTTCGTGACATCTGCCTCTTTTTAGAGATATTGCCTGCAGAGAGGGCCCCTGACTCGCCTGAGGTCATATCCAATTGCTCAGAAGAGCCTCAGTTTCTGCTTTTTATGAGCCGGGTGTTTTTCCAAGTGGAAATCAGCATCTGTCCTCTTTCTGTCATATCTACCTTTCTAGCTCTTTGTCATAATTTAAATAATAGCTCAATTTCAGACCATCTGCATGTAGAATTTTTCAAATAACAAGAAGAGACTTGCTCAGAGTAATAGGGAAGAATCTTTCTCCCTGTCAGGTGGTACCATAGCTCGACTACAGTTCTAGCCAGGGGGTGCTTTTGGCCAGAGGGTTTCTACAGGAACAGCTCTGGAATGCCCCCTGGAAGGAACTGAGTTCTTCGGGAGGAAGGACCTGGTACGTGTTACTTCCTGTCACTCTGGCCTCGTAGCCCCACCATTGCTTTCTGTAGGGGAAACCACATGGGCCTTGACTTTGACTCAAGCTCTGGTCACCCTTCTAATGAAATAACTAAGAACATTTGCTCTGTAGGCAATGCGTTATTTCTCCAACTTAGTAATACATTATTGTTGTATTTAAGTTTTGGAATCAGCCACCCTAGAAGTCCATTATTCAGAACTTCAAGGAGGGCAAATGTCAAGTGTTTGTTATTATAATTTTTTTTTTTAATGTTTTTTCCCTTCTATGTTTGTTCCTTGCGCCTTTGGTCTTTCTGACTTGAATACAATGATATGTGTGCATGTGTTTTAATTGGTTTTATAAAAAATTAAAGTTATTCTCTATAAATTGAGCCTTAGAATGAAAATCTCTTTATGATAGTGCTGGTGTTTGTGGGCTGCATTTCGTTAACAATACTTCATTAGATTAGATGAGAAGAGACACTGACATGGGGGGTAGAGGGGAGAGCAGGTGGCCGGGATTCCATTCCTGCTTTGCCAGTAGTAGCTCTCCTGTGATCCAGGATGATCTTACTTGGTCTCCATGGGCCTTTATTTCCTTATTAAAAAACAAGTGGGTTAGGTTATCTTTTACAGTTCTGACTCTAGAATTCTGCCCCGTTAGTATCTTAACTTCTTTAGTTCTCAGCATGACCAATTATGTTTTACTGATTGCATTTTAGGTAGATCCTTTTCTGATGCCGTATTAGGAGACCCTTTAATTTCATCGTTAATGATCTCAGTCTCATTGTAGACTGGGTGTTTGGTGATGAAAATGATGATAAAGTTTCCCATAGGTAGCTAATTCTATCCATGATTTGTGAATGCATATTAACTTCAGTCACAACTGGTGATCCTTTGTGACCTAAGCATCCTACATTTTTTTCTGACCTTTCTTGTAAATCCATCCTGGTTCTAGGTCTGTAGGCTTTTGTATAAGTCATACACAATGGTGGCCTAGATATTCCGTCCTGGCATCACTGATAGCTTGAGTAAGGGAGAGACAGAATCATTTATCATCTTGGTTATTACTCTTACTGTGAGAGTAATGCATTTATCTAGAATTTTTAAAATTACATTCTGATTCATTATGACTTCCCTTTATGTTGGCAGCAGATTTTTTTCTGTAACTTGGATTTATAATCTTTGATTTTGCCTCTAGACAATATTATTAACTAGCAGATCTGATTTGAATCATTATCAGAAAGACTAGGTATCCTTCTTTTCCTTATTAATAAACAAATTGTTTTTTATCTGTTATCTCTATATACTTTGTTTACAGGTATACACTGTATTTTATAGCTGTTTTTTTTAAAAAAAAGACTACTTTCTTGTTTATCAAAGTCAAATGAAACACTTTCTTAAAAAGAGAGGCTTTTAAGTTCATTCGTTTTATTTTTTTTTCAAAGTACACATAATTGTCTTAGTAAACTGTTTTAAGGTTAACCGTCAGCTCTAAATGTGAAAATTAAACAAAGCAAAAATGGAATGTTTAGCCTCATCAACTTCAAAATTACTGTGTATCGAGGGAGCAGAAAGAAGGAGACGTGGCCTTGCCCTCCAGGAGTGTTCGTCTTGGGCTGGGCAGCTAACTCAGTCTTCACCTCGTTTACTGTGCTTATCTACAGAGGAAGATGAGTTTTCTCCCTACTTAGATTCCAGATTATTTCTCAACTCCAGATTAATTGCTTCAGAGTAAGAAAATATTCTTTTCCTGCATATAAAAATGCATACATTAGTATTATAAGAACAACCAGTTTACAAAATTATGTGTAGGCAGAAAGTAACAGCTAATTGCTGCTAAATATCTAAGCGAAAAAATTAGTCCCTATTAAGTCCAGGTGCTTTAGTTATCTTTTACCAATTTACCCATATAGCTTCTATCAATACACATCTGTTTAAGGTTAACAAATTTTATTTATTTAAAAACTATGATGTTTCTCTGCTTAGATGATCAGCATCCTTTCCTTTAAAAATATTAAGATGGGAGTTTTTCTTTTCCCTCTCTTCTGGCGTAAAGTGCAAGGAATTATACTGGAGAGGCTAACCACAACATTTGCAATGCCATCACTAATAATCACCATGGAAACTGGAGATCTCTGATGTCACACTGCCCATACCATTTCCAAAAGGGCAAATATAACTGTTGATAGCTACTATTTAAAAAACCATTTAACACCCCCAACAGAATGAATTTTTTCTTTTGGCAATTTTGGCCAAGTATCAGATCCAATCATGTTACTGTTTCAGTTTGCCAAGCTAATTGCTATGCAGCAAGACGAACAACTATTCCCCAAGCTGCCCTGACTACCTTCGTCATAAGCAGTATTCTATTTGTGTTCTTTCAAGTAGAAAATTAATATGGCCATCGGCCAAGAATTGTACAAGGCTGATAGATCACACAATGAGGGTGAGAAATGAGGAAAATTTCTGAATGGTTGATGACAGAAATCACTGAAGTCAGGGACTGATAGCCATTTTGTTTAAATCTATTAAAAAGCCAAAGAAGGAAGGAAAGGAGGTAGAATTTAAATATAGGGTAGTTAAGTC